AAATATTTTTTTGAATATAAAATAAATATAAATAAATATAATTTAATTTCCCTGAGTACAAATTTATATTTTAATTATTAAAAATATAATAACTTTTTTTTTGTTAATGAGGTTATGACAATATAGAATAAGTGCGTTTTGAAAAAAATTGATCCGGCATTGAATAATAATATTATATTATAAGTTGTTTGCAATAAATTATTATAGATAAAAAGTTGTTAAATATTTTATTAATTTCAGCGGGATGTTAGTAGGTGCCTATTTAATATTATATCTAGTCGTATAATAATAGTATAATACATATAAAAATTATGTCTTTTTTTTTATAGCGAAAACAATACAAATTCAATTTGTTATAATGTTTTTTTATTGCCCTTTAGAAATCCTGGCTTGGTACTGGGATACCTATACGGCTCAATATTCAATAGTCAAAGCCCGGATTTATATGCAAATGCATATTGTTCTACGATTCACCTAGAATAATTTTGATTACCTATATGCGTCGACGTTTCGTAATGTGTAATTCTATTGTTCATTTTTTTTTTTCTTTGCATATTTGATGAAAATTCATATTAATTGTATATTTCTTGAATCTTGATAGTGTCATAAATGTTGCATATTCTACAATAATAATAATAATAATTCTATCTTTATTCATTAAAATAGTCATAAATACGTGTGTATCTGCTGTCCATCGCAGTATCGCACATAACCCATTGTAATGTACATCGATAAGTCATCGACTAATGACCAAAAATATTGGATTTTCTAGTGGTAAATTTATAATTACCTACCCTCACACGTCTATAAAAAACATGGATATTCTAATTGAAAAAAATCGATATATATGATCAACGGCGAGGTATCGGAATGTGACGAAGACTAGGAACTGTCAGTTGAATATTTATATACCTAGTTTTAAAATTTAAATAAAACTTGAAATCGATTTGTATTACTTCATGCTGGACGCTGCCACGCTGGTACAGTGGTACCTATTCTCGCCCCATAATAATAAAAATGTAATATATATTATATACCTAGTATAATACCTTTATACACAATTTCATAAAAATAATGTTATTCTGAATTTTAAAATAATAATTTCATATAGGTAGCTAATATAATAACTTCTTTAACTAATTTATAATATTTTTAAACTTACACAATGTTATTTTCCTTTTTTTTAATAAACTTTTTTGTACATATATTTAGATTGTGTTATATTTTAACTCAAAACGCCGTACAGTTTATTCATTTGTAAAAAAAATCATTTTGCATATTTTATTCATATTTATGATGTGAATTTGCATATTTTATAAATTTTTATTTCATATAAATCCGGGACCAACTCATAACCTATATTATGTGAGATTATACCGAAATTTAAAACTAAATTCAAAATTATCTTATTTTAGATGACCATTATTATTTAGTGATGACTGAGAAGTTCTGGAGTAGCATTAAAAGTATACAATACTTATTAGTAACCGTATCAGAAATTGTATTTTGACCGATTTTACAATTTTAGATTCCGAGCGAGGAAGCTAGTGGTTTCACAATGGTGTTTTTTTTTTCATCCTGTATACAAAATTTCTAGATGGTACTTTAAAAAGGTCATTTTCGGTTTTCTCAATAATTATTTAGTGCCACGGGAAAAACCACAGACAAATTACGAAAAACCGCTAAAAATGGGATTTTAATTTCTAACGCTTTGTTTATCACCATAAAACAAATAAAAAATAATAATATTTTAATGTTAATTCAACTTACGCCTTACGTGCCATAATAAATAATAACAATATAGAATGTGCAGACCGACAAACCGTCTCCGTTCAGAATCGTTTTTTCATAAATGATATTTATCATTGAATATTCAAGTTTAATACAATCCATATTAATATATTATACATTGACCCACTTGTAACCTACTGTTGTACAGCAGAGCGATATTCACTACTCTTGATGTATTGTACTATTTATACTATTGAGTATTATTGAGTAACTACCTAAATAAATTTGATTAAGAACTACAAGCTCATTTTATCAGATGAGTTAAGTACTTAAGTCTATAGTTGGAAAAGATACTTTCAACCTTACTACAACCATAGGCTTAGCCCTTCCAAAAACCTAATTATTTCACTACTATAATTTAAAAGTATCATAAGAGTATCAAGTTTTTGTTCTTATATTTTAAGCAGTACCTATGTGTGCTTTTTTAAAATTAAAATTCATTACATCGATTCATAACTAAACAGACGTACAGAGTCCAAATGAATTAATAAGTAACCTACTAACCTACCAATTAAAATAAATGACAAACATAAATAATAATATCATAACATGAACATCGTGTAGTTAGACATGATAGGACGTAGGTAGGAAGACAGGAATTAGAATAATATAGACTATAGGTAGTATAGTGTAGTAATTAGTTAGGTTTTGGTATAGCTGTATAGGTGTAATATATTATGTTATTAGGTAGGTACTTATGACTTACGAGTAGGTATATAATATTATGCAGCTTGCTTATCTATTACATTCTGTGCTATATATTATTTCCTATTATTATATTTTTCTCATTTAACTAGGTATAATATTAATCAATGAATGATAATAATATTATGTAGGCTACAATAGGAAGAAATTAGTAGGTAGGAGGTAGATACCACCTACCTACCTAGCTATTTATTAACTGCTAAATACGCAAATTCGTAAATATCAATATGGGTGCTGTTTCGCAGATAAATATTATAATATAGTCATTCATTAAGACTAACAAACTGAAAAAAGAAAACCATATGAACAAATTAATTGGTATGGAATGACGATGCGAAACGTACTATATCAATATACTTTTACAACACATAGGCATAGCCATAGTACCTAACGTATTATATAAACATTATTCTAAAATATTACAGTAATTAGTAGGTAGGTGCCGCTGTTTACCTACCAAGTACCATTGAGTGTAGAGATTATGCTATTGTAATAATATACCTAATAATATGGTCTATGGGGTAACATGTAGTAGTAATTTACAGTGTTGACGCAATACTATAGGGGTAGGTATATGCTATTGAAATTTGGAGGCGTTCTGCACATCTAAATTTTAATTCAATTTTATAGCACCTCCGCCTGCAGGTTATTTCCAAAATGTTAACTTGAGAAAACTTTTTATTCTATACCCACTAGAAATTATATATTATCACTAGTTTTAATTGTATTAATGATTAATCATAAATCATAAATTATAAAATCTATTATGATTAATAAATTATTTTATAAAATGAAAAGAAAAACATTATTATTGCAAGTAATAGGAATTTATTACTTACAATAGATGATGACCTAGTTATTGCCATGCACTCTGGAAAATGGTAAATATATTTCTTACAAATGAAAACAATTTGAACTCATTTTTTATTTAGGTACCTATATGGCTATATACATTATATTAGGTATATTGATTTACATAATTTAAATATCACGGCCCAGTTCTCACGTCAAATGTTTAAGGCTCTTAAAAAATAATTTTAGTTCCCTTTCCCTCCCTCCCAAATTTCATCTCTTGTTGTACCAATGTGCAGTACTCAGGGGCAGTCAGGGCCGTGTTAAACCTTTTTGAGGCCCTGGGCAGTGGTATAATGGGGACCCTACGACTTTGACAGAGTACTGTTTTATCAAAACAGGCATACAGGGGGCCCCATCGAACGTGCCCAAAATGTCCAATGGGAAAGAAGTGCCTGGCAGTACTGCACTATGTACCTAACTATATAGTGTGCACTTATAATCAGTTGTGCAGTATAACATTTACAATAAAAATAAATTTAAAATAGGGGGACGAGGTGGCCGAGCGGTCGGACACGTCGTCTGCGGCGCTGGCGGTCGCGGGTTCGATCCTCTCGACCACTGGGCGGTATTTTTCTCCGGGCAAGTCACGGTGTCCGGAGAACAAGTGCCGCCATCCCCCACTCCGGGGCATGGCAGAAACCTACGGGTGCCCCATTCAAAATTCTGCCAAACCCAACACACACGTGTTCCTCCCCCTACCGACATAACATCACACAAATAAACCACTACAGCTAATGGCCATAGTTGCCGAAGCTTAAGATCAATAAAAAAAAAAAAAAAAAATTTAAAATAATAGATAATATAATATATTTTTATGATTAGCTATTATTTGTTCTACATATTTATAATAAATTGAATTTATACATTCCACATGTTATCTCTGTATAAATATTTTGAACATTTAAAAATTATTTTTTATAAATATCTATTTACTAACAATATGTATAATGTATATTGTATATATCAATCATAGTATGTATATAATATTTATAGTATATACTATATAATATATTATAGACATATTGATTAACATCAAAATCACAGTCAAAAATAAATAACAAATTTATAATAATATATATATAATACTATACATAAACACGAGATAAAATATTAATGATAAATCGCAAGTTTAGTCTAACCGAGAATAAAACTATTTAGTCTACTAGTCTTTTTTGTATATATTTTTTGCGAACACAACTTTTCGAAATTGAACAACATTTATAGATATTTTATAAATAATAATTCATGTATATGTATAATAGAGATATACATTATAATAACCTAGAGAGAAAATATTTTAACGATAGTCGTACATTGTATAAATAACATGATATCGTTTTTTATGTTAAATAATAGTAAAATATTATTTTAAATTTAAATTTTTTGTTTCTGTTTTTTTTTTTTTTGAATAGGAATGATGTTTGAAAGATATGATAAATATAATATATTATGTAATTTTTATTATATAATAATATATCGGATATAGGTAGGTATAACATTTAACATATAGTTTAAGAAGGATTGCTTGTATACCACCTTTTTAAAAAGGTTCAATAACACAAAATAAAAATTTGTATACAATATAGAAAATTATAGCTAATAATAATATAAATTCAATTAAATAACCAAATAAACAATTCATCAGTCGGTCAGCAAGGGGAATCGGTCTCCGAAGCACCGTTAATTTGTTTCCACACTTTTTCTTCGATTTGCTGAAAATTAAAATATTACAATATCGTTACATAATATACCTAATAATATATAATTATATTAAACACAATTAAATATAAATATAACTTGTAACTTGTATTTATATGTTTTAATAGCCACCGTTTTGTTATGTTAACAACTTAATATAACTAATATGATAGGTATCTATTGATTTTTTTTTACCGATTTACCGAATGAATGGAATACTATTTCAATTTAATTATGTTTGATGAGTAAAATAATTATTACGTAGGTAATAGGTATACATGTAATAGAGACATTAATACATTATGGTACCTACTACCTAGGTACATATTTCACTTGTTGTTTCATAATATAATATTATCATAATACTATATTATCATTGTATACAATATCATGTATCATTAACCTAATGCTGTAAGCTGTTATGCCTATGGGCAATGAGAGATTTTTGTTTAATTCAAACCATCACCAATAATGTTATTATTTTTCTTACACATTATATAAATAATCCCAACAATAAAAGCCAAAGGGTTCTATTCAAGTTAGTTGCGTGCTAGATTAATACAATATAAATTAAAAACCTTCATTATATTTTATTGTTTGTTTTTACGTAAGACATATTTTGTTCATAGTCATGATACTCGTATGCATCGTAAATAAATTAAGAAGGCTTAATTAAAATCAACTCCTTAGTTGGAAATGGTTAAGTTTGCGAGTTGAAAAATGTATTTATTTTATGGAATCTTGGAATATCGGGGTTGATTATTAAATATAAAATACTAAAATACTAAAACGTATTAATTTGTTTATGTTTTTCAGAGTAATATAAATTCAATCTTGTAGTTAGGTTATCTTAGGTGTATACTGTATTTTTAATTATTATTATTAAAAATAATTATAATCTCTATATAAACGGGGCATAATAAATAACAAAATAAATAATATACCTAAATTATAAATAATAATTGAACACCTTTCACTAGAATTTTTTTATCGTGCAATAAATATTGAAGTTAATTTATATTACGACTTATCGATTTTCGTTCAATAATTATATTGATAAAAGATAGATAAAATTAGTTATATTAGACCGTTATGTTATGGTTTTGATGTATATTATTTGTATTAGTTCAGTGTTTGATGTTTGATTTCAAAGCTTATAAATAAGTTTGTTCGGCAATATTATTTGAATTTAAGGTACTATAAAAATGTGCTTGTAGATATTAATATAAGTTTGGGATTTAAGAATTCTTCTTATTAATAATTTTGTTTTTACATTGTAATTGCTTAAAGTTCTTGTGTTTATTAAATTTTTTTAAAAAATAATATAGGTACCTATCACTTCAATGTAGGTAGGTATATACATTTTTAAACATCATGTGGTGTTTGTATTTATCATAGCTATAATAGCTATACTGATTGTTCATTTGCAAAAAACATCTACAGAAGTGTTCTAAATAAATAAATGAATAAAATAATGTTAATAAAAATATTAAACAAAACACAATTTCCCTTTGGCAAAACATACGGATCAGCCAAACAAACATATTAAACCAAATTAAAAAAACATTAATAAGATGGAAAAGAAACCCAAACGTGAGTACCACAAAACTAAAAAAAACTAAATCGAGCTAGAATTGGACACTCAAAATTGACTCACAGATATTTAATGGCTAGAAACGAACCACCAATATGCCTAACATGTGGCACCTCACTCACAATTAAATACATTTTTGAAGAATGCAGAATATACCAAATACAAAGAGAAGAACTTAACATAAGCCACGACATCGGAATAAGCCTAGGCCCAAACCCCGAAAATGAAGCCAACACAATAGAATTTTTCAAAACAATAAAATTATTAAACCTACTGTAAATTATAACCAAAGTATTGTAAAATCTAAAATTGTTTATTTTACTCATTACTGATTTATATACAAACTATCTTTTTTTTCTTTTATTTCTTTTGTCTCTGTCTCGAAAATGTAACGCTAATGGCCCCTGTTGTCGAAGCGGAAATTTAATTGTGTAAATTTCAAGATCAATAAAAAAAAAAAATTTAATTACTATCATTATTTTTGAATAATGTATTGTTAATTTTTTTAATAGGTATTTAAATTATTTGATGAAAAGTGCAAAGTGATTATCAAATATTTTTTATGGATATGTATGTACCTACCTACTATCTTATCATGATATTCAAATTGTAATATATTATTCCATATTGCCTCATTCATGAATATACCTATGTAGAGACTTATTGATATATTATGTAATTAAAATAGTCAATCATAAAGTAATGCTTACCTACTTAACTTATAATAAGTACTATGTATACCTAGTTAATAACTTCCGAAAGTTTGTTTGGTTTTTAACTTAAAGACAAATTAAAATTAATAAAAAACAAAATACTACAATATTGATTTGAAGTTTTTCTGAATAATGATATTGACTATAATACTATATATTATTTAAGATACATAGTATCTCTAGGTAAATAACATTTATAAAAACAATTATGCTTTTTAATTTTAAATCATGATTATGATTTTGAAAAGTTTTTAAAAAAAATATGTAATTAAAGCACAAAATACCAATAGGTTTAGGTACACCGAGATTCATTAATGTTTTTCCAAGAGCATTAATGTATTGAGCGTTGACATGCAAACGCGTATAATTATATACCATCACCATTCACCGTTATCACCGTAATTATCGTGACATCTTACCCTGTGTACCAATTTATTACGGTCGTATCGTTCAATCAATTCTTTTTCCGACAAGTACGCCAAACATTCAGATTTTATAATGGATGCTTCGATCTCGGGTATTAAAGTTAGAGCAGCTCTATGTTTTCGTTTTAACATTGTTGACAACGACTTCCAACCTTTACTAGAAGTCTTAACCGTGACATCCAACCCAATGGTGTTGTTGTTTGTCTCTTCGGGCAGTTCTTCTGGCAATTCACATTCTACTTGGTCGTACACGCTCAACAAGTGTGCGCAATCTTGGCGCATCGATACGTAACCTAAGTCATCAGCGTTCTTACCATTCAGTATTACTGTTTTTGTGGTCTTCATGCTGGCTGCGTCACTATCGCTACTGTCATCCGTCCGGTCATTGCTGTTGCCATTTGGAGATTCTAAATCTTGGATGTCTTGTAGTGCGTCGTCCAAATCAGCATTGAATCTGTAAAATATTAAGCCGCGTGTGCATGTCAAATGCTTGTTTCGTTTTAAATATATATATACATGAAATATCCATGGGATGTTTAAACGCCTTGGCTATGCTATGGATTTTAAGAATAATTTTGAGGGTAACGATAAAAATCTCATAATTAGGAGAAGCCCATAATAGTAACTTATAGATGTGAGTGACAACTGTTAAGCTTAAAACCAGATAATTCTGGAATATCCCGCCAAGTTGGTACTAACGGCAGCAACTCGACAAATATCTGCCTGCACAGGTGTTACAATAAAAATGTATCTCAACAATTAAAAACTGTATCCTTGTCCTATGGAATCGATTGATTAGGATTACATTAATAAATCTGCTAATTTAAACATATTTTGACGATACGATCACTGATGGGTTTCCCTCAGAGTTTATTTTTTAATACTAAAAATTAAATTATCTATAGGTATTAAAAGATGGACAACTTAAGTCAGCGCAGAGATATCGGAATAATCCCCCTCCTATTCCTAGTTCTTTTGAAATTCAAACTGGTACCAAACATCAATCATGATTCAGTCAATATACCTATTAGAAATCGCAGAGGTGGAACTTGAAAAAAATATATACCAGTAAGTGCTTAAATATTCCCAGTTTATCATTGCTTAAAGTACTTTTCCCCCATTCTCTCCTACACATTAAAAATTATATTTAATTTATCATTATACATCATAAGTTAAATAAATTAAAATTACACAGCATAAAATCTATTTTGATAAGAAGTCATCATTCAAACACCAGCGTGAACATACTGTACTTGAGTACCCCGGACTCGAAACCTGTCCGAAAACATAAACTTTGATACATAATATTATTATAACGAACGATAATAATTTAGGTAACTTACCAGTTACCACCATGGTTATAGCATAGAACAATTAAAGACATCGCCATGGTGTCATGGTCTAAGACCACGGTGATGTGGTCCACGATGTAGAAAAACATAATATAGGTATATTATATGATCTTTTCTACACCGTTCAGTAATCTTGTGGTTATTTAATTTTTTATCGGTATTATTGAATATAGAATAGATAAATTATATCACATTCTAATTTGAATAAAAATAAAAATGGTAAAAAGTAAAAATGTCTTTTCATATTTATTAATAATTGGGGGGAAAATAGGGAATAACTGGAATTTTTTATGTAAAACTAGTGTTTGAGAATATTGATTTTCTTATTTTGTTGTAATTTAAAAACGAATAACTACAGGTAGGTTATTGACATTTTCAACAATCGTTTATATTTCATTTAAAAAATATTTTGACTGTTTTTGAGACATTTGAAATTTTTTATTTTACTCAAAGACTATAGTTTCGAATACTTGAAATTGTTTGAACGAATTGAACTCAAGTTTTTCATATAGAAAGCACTCTATTTTTCTTTAATCTATTGGGTAGATATTTTTTGAAAATGGTGATTTGTCTAAATCGAAATTTGAACCATTTGTTTTTGACTTATTAAACTTTACGTAGGTAATAAGAATAATTTAGTCCATGCTACTATCCCGGGCTCCCGGTTATGCCACAAGTTAATTATTTTTTATTAAAATATAGGTATATACATTTTTTATTTGCTTAGTCATGTTCTTATTAGTTATTATTCAGGCAATTATTACAAACTGTAAAATTATAGTAAAATAGTATATAGATTACCTACTATAGTTTGAAAATCAATTAAAAATTAAACAATACGTCTTATGTTTCATATTTATTCGAATCTCTTATCTACCATTTTTTGTAAATATGAACACTAAATATCACATAATATATTTTATGGTATAAGCATGTAATATTATATATATTACTATCCTTAGTATCTAAGTACATTATATAGATAATGTTAGTAACTTGGAAACTACTCATTCGAATTATGATTGAGATAGATCACAATCATATATCAAATTTTCGTGAGCGGAGCTTAATAAAAATTAATTTTTTTACTTCAAAACTCCAAAAAATTAGGTTTTGAATAACTGCGCTTTTGTAATGAAAAAAAAAGGGGTTGAGTATGCCTGCGGTGAATATCACTCTTGCGACTTGCAGTATAAATGTATAATATCGGGACGGTGGCCGATTTTCTACTCACCTCTCTTCGGGCGATTCAACGTGTTTGGAGAGTCTGTTGCCGATGGTCTTCTGCAACTCCTCCATCAGTGACGCGTACTGGACGGGCTCGGCGGCGGGCGGCGGCCTGGGCGACAGGCTCCGGGGCGGCCGGTCACCGGACGCGATGGCCTCCTGGATGCTGGCCGACAGGGCGGTGTTCAAGCGGGACCTGTACACAGACGGTTCGGTCAGCTTCTCCAGGCACTCGTAAATTGGTGCGTTGGCTACGGTGGCCGCGGACACCGAGTCCTGAGACGAGCTCTCCGACAGGCCAACCGGCGACGGTGTCCGCGAGAAACTGGTCATTAGCTGCGTGGGCCGGCCGCCCGTGCCGTCCATCTCGACGATCACCACCGGCGTCACCGGCTTGGCCCTGCGCTTCAGCGTCACCGTTCGGCTGCACACGGCCGAGCCCGCCGTCACCACCGCTGTAGCAGGTAGCCGGTGGTCGAGCGCGCTCAGCGATTCCGTGGATGCGTACGTGGGGGGACAGCCGCCCGGGCCCGCCGTGCCGTCCGCTTCAAACACCCAGGAACGGCCGTAGTTGTTGTCCGACGTTTTCCTGGCGGTACTATTCGACCGCAACACGCACTCCGATTTAACCTGCGAGGTATCAACGACGAATGCGGTCAGTGATATCGGTAATATTATACATTATGTTACCGGGGTTGTCGACAGTTTAGGAAATGATTCCTGGGAAATTATCACAATATTTCCTAATACGGTAAGGAAATGATAATTTCATGCCTAGGAGGAAGTAGGAATTATCATAATTTCCGAATACTGTAATTTATTAGGCAATGTTATCACAGTAGAATCGACAGGTCAAGCAGAAAAACTAATTTCACTTTGGCAGTTAGCTATACAATATATAGATAATAGTTATTTCAGGGGCACAAGGATACACCCAATGTATTAATGCTTGACAAACAGGACGTGTGCTTGCAGATCGGCATCCGAAATTTGTAACTCTAGATGTCAAGGAATAGTTTTCCATGCGAAAATAAAAATGAATAATAAGTAACTGAATTAAGTCTTGTCAAATTGTAATGACATTTCTTGTATTATTATACTAATGAAATTGACACAAAAAAGCGTATTATGTGTCCAACAATAAGTAAGTTTTGATAAATTATTTAAATTGTTTTACGATGACGTTTATTGTTCGGATTTTATTGCTCTTATAGAAACGACAAATTTATAGGTACTATAAATCGCAACAACATTTTACAAACAATGCAAAACATGAGTACCTCTACGGCTCTAAATATTTATTTCCTGTGCAAGATTACTGATACGTTATCGAAAATAGGAACTGGGCCACGGGTATTATTTGTCTAATTTTATACAGACACGTTGAAATTAGAAATTAAATTTTTCGAAATTATTATAACCGTTAATTATTATAAATTATGGATCAAATGTTTTTATAATAAAAAAAGGTAAATGTTCTAGGACACCCTAACAAAAATGCATTCTTCTAATTGCTTCACTCTTTCAAATCTACGTCTAACACGAATAATAACATTATAAAATGTTGGCTATCGAACAATACGTGCAGACTGCAGACAGTATTGATTTTCAGACACTGCCGTGACACATTTATTGGCGTTGGGATGCCGAAACCGGGAGTGAGTATTAGATACATTTTTGCTGTATTTAATTTTATCTTTTACACTAGATACCTACACCATTCCTACTTACGTTTTCACTGCACAGGTATGCTGCAGGTATCGTACCTATATTATTATTAGAATCGTTGGAAAATCACATCACCATAACTATTTTCCATTTCGAAAATGATGTACTATAATAATTAATAACCCAGGTGACGCTTATTTTGTTAAACGAGTGTGTGTAGTTGGTGCACATTTTGTTAATTTTATGACCCGATCAAAGGCGGCACATGCCCTTGCACAGATATTGGCTTACCTACCTACCTACCTATGTACATTGTATATTATACAACCTACAGTTAGCAGTGTACCTACCTACAGTTAGCACGGCGTATCCACTGTTCTACTATTGTATTACCATAGTCAAAAATTTAATTACTCAAATGTCTTTTTTCGAAAACGTGGAAAAAAGAGTGTATCCGAAGTACAAGTTTCGAAATTGTACCAATCAGGAATGCCTATACAAAAAATGAACGAAAGTAATAGGTACATTGTATTTTTCGGGCTTCGGATTTCCAACAGTAAATACTTAAACAATTATTGCCCTTTAAAATATCATATTATTACTACGATTGTAATAATATGTTTGAGAAGCAATCTCAAAAGATTTGTTATTTGTTTAAGTTTACGGATTATTTCACAGCTTATGTAGTAAATTGGTATTTCAAAAATAATCACGTTACATCTTTTTTCTTTTTTTTATTGAACAAAATTTTATTTACAATCTGTAATTACAATATATACTACAATAAGTAAATGGGATGGGGATGATTAGCGGGAGGGGGGAAGTCACCCATTGGTCCACCCCAAAATGTTACATCTATGAACTATCTTAGGATTTTTTTAACGTAATAATTTAAATTTTAAATAATAATTAATTGTTTTAAAAACTAAGAATATGTAGGTGTCTGGAAAAACATATTATAATGAACTCATCTGACGATGAAATATATTATGTAATAGTCTAATGTGAATCAGAATGTATAAATGCTATCCTATGGAATATAGCTATAGAGAATAAAAACATTTGTTTAAGCACAACAAATATTTCATGTTTTTTCTTTGTAAATTACTGAATTATTTATTCATATAAAGTTAGTTAAGAGAAGTCAAACAAAAACAATGTCATAAAACTGTTATCATTGTATTTTAGGGTCAATATAATAGTAATACGCAGTACCTATCGATTATTAAATTTAATGTGAGTTATGGCCTATGGGTAATATTGACATATTATCCTACAAAAGTATATATTATTCATAGTTACCTACATTATATTTTGTATTGATATCGTTAAAACTGGGGTTAATAATTTTGATTATATTACGATGTTGGATTTTAGAGTGTATGAAAATTTTTTTTTGACATTTTCCGTATAGTTTCATATAATTTATAATGTATTGGAGCACCACTTTTCCCCTTAATTTGGTTGTCATGGCGAATGATCTGCACAGAAAATATTGTTGTAATTCATCGTATTTTGCGGAACATATTTCAAGAAACTTTTGGAGTATTTTACCTTCTTTTCTATGTTATTATTTTAAATATAATTCTAAAACAAAAACTTTTTTATTGGATTAAAAATAGAGCCACGGTTGGGTGGTTAGGTTTTCATTGCACAATGGCCATTCCAATACAAATGAGAAACATATTTTACTCGTTAGTAATATACATATTTTGTTTTATAAGTTTAAAATATTTAATTTATTGTTTTTGGTGATCGATTGAAAGTAGTTTTTCTGACTCACTACTATAATATACCAGATACCTAATATACTTTTAAAGTGTATAAAAAGTAGAAATATTATTTTATGTATAAAACTCAAGAATTGAAAACATACCCTTGGCATAATGTAATCGACATCTGAATTGTTATCTGGTTCTGTATTTTGTTGTGTTTTATCCACACGTAGCATACAACAAAACGTTATCTGCGAATCTAAAAATGCACCGATTATGGCTACTAATGTGCTTATACTGGTAGTGTAACGAGCTGTAAAACAAGTACATAACATCATATCAATTATAATATACCATACCAAACTAATAACTATATATATTTATATAAGTTAGTACACACACATACACAATATAGACAATTATTTTTTATATAAAAATTAATAGAACGATATAATTATTACTGTAATATGATTAGTTATATCATTGATTATAACATAAATAGGTGATCATTTCATAAGCAATGGTTACATGAATAATGAATGTACTGAAGTATGATATATAAATATATTATAATGTACCTACTGGTAACTGGTAAATAATCAGTATTGTCTTCACTCTTCATAGATATTAATAACAATTAATAATAATTACCTATCAGTATAACACTGTTAAGCTATTTTTTTTCTGTTTTGATTGTAAGCAAAGGTTTTTTCTTATCATACTAATTACTAACATATAGATAAGTATAAAATCCCTTAATATGTGCCACTATCTATTTACACATACCTACATCATTTGATATTGTTTATCACAATATCATGTTACAAAAATCATAATACCTAGGTTTACGCGATAATGCTTTAAAGTTTTTCTCTTCTTACATAAATAATTGGGAAAAAAGAGTTAAAATTAATGAATATATTAGGTAGTTCCCATCATAAAATAAGGAATGAACTTAATCTCTCCTAAAATGTTCAATTTACAACTAGGTAAATGGTATACATTTAGGTACTTCCGTTAAAAATCCAATTAGGTAGGTAGTAGATACTTGTTTTGCAAATTATATTGTTATGTTATGTTCAGGTGATTCTTTGGAAGAAATATCAAAGATTTAAAATAAATAATATTAAAAATAATAATGATTAGTAAAAAATATCCTAAATTTAAAATTAAACTTATGTTGCTCACTATTCAATGGAAAAAACACTACTGACTGGAACTAAACTTAAAATTCACAAAGATCAATCAATTTTATTATAAATCTCTAAATATATATTATACAATTAAATATTCAAGAATTAAAACCAATAGCAATATGAGATGGAGAAATAAAAATTAAATAAAAATTAAATTATATAAGTTAAAAAGATTTAAATCAAGGTTTAGGACCAACTAAATGTACCAACCAAGTGTATTTAGCATTGGTGGAATCACTTATCCTTCATGGTAAAATATGTTGGAGTGGTGCATTTGACAATGCATGTTTCAAATGTGTCAAAATCTAACGTGGTGCTGAATAAAGAACAAACGTATCAAACGAACAATTTATGTAAAAGTGCCACCAGTAAAAATGTATTTAAAAGTACATAATTGTTAGGTACTGTAATTGTATACATCTGGAATAAACCACAATTTGTTTCACTCAATGTTACTAGAAGTAAACACAAGATACTCAAATAAGAATTCTCTTATAAAAATGACTAAAAAAACCACATCAGGATAGACATTTTGAAATACTTGTCACTAAATTACGTAATTAAATATTTTAATTATTACGAATATTATTTTGAATTTTCCAATATAGTTATTTAAAAAAAATCGTACAGTTGTTATTTGAATCTACTGTTGAATTGGTAATATGACAATCCATTATAATATTGTAAATCAGAAATCTATTTAACATTATTTTTATTTTTGTCAACCTATGCACCTTTGTGGCTATGTCCTAATGCCCTAAACATGGTAAAATTGTGGTAAATTTACCATACAAAATACATATACATATATAAAAAACAATAATAATTACCATATAAAATTAACGTTTCCAATCCTTCTCTTGACATGCTATCTTTGACCGATTCAGGTGTTAGGTATCTCCATTCTCCGATTTCTAATATGATTAAATTTACGATGTTCATGATCAGGATAGACACAGTGAGGCATAAAAGGCCTCGTTGTTTGGCCGTAGTCCAATCACCTACACACGAGAAAACTGCTCCTCCTACACCAAAGAACACGTTCTGCGAAAAATAAATTAGTATACTAATTCGTTTAATTTATTTATTTAGAACAAATGATCATAATGTAGAGGTTTTTAATGAATGAAAGAAATCTAGGTATGTTTTATAGCTGAACGATAAAAGCTTTAAAGCTGAACTGATCAATATTTTATTTAATATTATTTACATAATCGTTAGGTATATATTATAAGCAGAGCGATGAATGTGTTGGTTGTACAATATTTGACGAGATTATACTTTGCGAGGGGGTTGAAAGTAAAAACTTTCCAGTCCTTTTCTAAATCATAACGAAAAGCAAACCAAAAATCGTACAAACGGGAATATTTATGTAGTACGAGTAGGTAATGAGTATTCGATAAAATTGATTTTGTTTTTTAGTTGTAAATTCAAAAATTAATTAGATAGATACGAGAAATGTTTATCAAATAATTATACTTTCATATTAAGATTTTTTCAAAAGATGTTGGCTGTTTAAGTTAATAATAGACATTTGAATTTTTTTTTAGCTATTTTCGATGTAAAACATTTTTTTTCCTAGTCATAAATCTGGATATGTTAATACAAGGCTCCTCATAAGATGTTCTTACGGCAATCAAAAAAATATCAAAAATACAGTCACATTTTTTTTTTTTTTTATAAAAGTGAGTTTAGTTGGAATTTTGACGATATTGGAAACAATTTTTCCTTTTATGGTTTGGTTGTAATTGAAACATTTTGCCATCATATGTATTATACTATTTTGAATTTTCTATACACAATGACATTTTCGAAATATTTAGTCTAGTTTCAAGCTATTTATATTTATTATTTATAGGTTCTACTATTTACACCGTCCTATTGTACGTAATATCAACTTATAAGTTAAATATCAACAATATATGCGCTGTTAAAAAAAATGCAACATCTTATCGTATTACTAATGGAAATAAAAATAAATTATGATATATTATTATCTTCAGAAATAGAGGTTGAGCGCTACACACCGTTTTCGCTCAGAATCGTTTTTCGCATATACAATGATATGTCATTGAATTCAAATTTAACACGACCATTACAACGGTGACCAGTATCAATTACGGCGGAGCGACTTCCGCGGAATTTTTTATATCATCATCTATTACAAAATATAATCTTGTCATCTGTTTCATACATTTCTCACATATTATTATCATAATGGTATTACATATTATTATTTACCCAAGACCCTGTCCATATGTTTGATCCTATTCTGAGAACAGGTATTGTGAATAGGAAAAATATGCCTGCTACTATTTGAACAGCGCCAACGCTTATGTACAGCACACTCCACAGCAGGTGTATGGCGGTGCATGCTTGAATCCAGCTTAAGCACATCAAGTCATCTATATGATTTTACTTTTTCACGACTTTGCACCCGTGTTGTGTGATGTGATTTCTATAAACATAAACAATTTTAAATAAGTAACACTTTTGAGTTTGTTGCTTGTTTACTGAAATAGATATGTGTAGGTGCCTATATGAGTTATACATTTTAATAAACGTATACAAGTTAAGCTCTTGGACAATGCATACCTGTACGTTGTATATAATTACATTAAATTTACAAATATATTATGTATTATATACATAAATAGGTACCTAATAAACAATAGCATGCATATTGCACATACTATGTATACACAATATATTATATATACATTATAAGCAAATTAACAATTATTAAACGGCTTTATAACGTTTATAAATGATGGTAAATTAATCTTTTTAGGTATAATATTTGCAAATTGTGATTTATTGGTTCTAACCATTATTATGTGGTGCTTTGAAGCAACAAATGTTGAAGGTTAATGATAATAATATAAATAGGTCCTGACATTGAGACATTTTTTTATCACATTCTCATTTGTTGGTATCCATTCAACAATACACTTTCCGTCACGGTTACTAACACAAATTTGTTTCCGGTAATGTTTTTTCCTTCAAAAAAAAATTATTATTTTTGGTACGAAAATGTTATTTGTTACGTTATTTATATTATTGAGATGTTAAGCACACATGTTTTTTCATTTACAAGTCACCTCGTAATCAGAAGAACCATATAACCATGGTAGTTGTTCCGTGACGAACATCATATACATATGTATTTGATTCTACAATTCTGTTTTAATGCCTTCATAAATTGCCTTAAAAACCGTCAATTAAATAAAAAATAGAATTTCATATAATTTTTTTTATCTCTATAGTAATAAACAAATATACATATAGACATATAGTTAATATGAACTACACTAGTTTATGCATACCAAAACAATAATACAATTTGTATTTTTCATATTTCTATAGACATTTTAAATTTTTATTAAATAAAAAAATAGTAAATAAACTAACAAAGGTAATGATAAATTACTCAACTTATCTCTGGTTGAATCTAATAATCAATGCTACACATCACACTTTGAAATTTAGTAACCGGAACAAATTTTTTGTATTGTGGTTCCTACATTTGGTATGTATCGAGGGAGTGGGCTATTTGTTTACAACTGTTGCATATTTTTATAATCAGTTATTTTTAACAATAACATTTAATTTATAGTCCAAAGAATTTACAATGTATATCTAATAAGTAATAACCATTGGTTAATGAGTAATAAAATAAATATATCTAGCGTTAGCAACCACTTTAAGATATTTTACGTTTTGTTTCCTTATTAGTCCTTAACTAACTTATAACATTGTTATGCCGTTTTAACTATACAATATTGGTTTTTGGATATGTTTATAATATGATAATTGTTCATTTTTATATTAAATATTTATTATTCATTAGATACCTACCTATACATAGTTGCTAAGTGGGTGCAAACATTTTTAACTTTCTAGTTACCTATGTATAGTAGATACAACTTACTTATATTACATTACAAATTATAAAGATAAAATATAATACATCATACTTTTAAGGATAGGTCAAGGTAATTTGTGCCCAGTGGCTTAGGGTTCTAGGGTTTTGACCCCTTCTTAAATGTCTTCCTTTTACAGAATAATCTTATTACCACTATTTCAATACAGCAGAGTTAAGAATTGTTGGTCATTATAAAATAAATTATTAAATATGACAAGGACGTCGATCATAGTTTCAATTTTTGGCTGATTTAGAACATTACTAAACGTCTGCTATAATCGTCGTATAGTGTATCATCATGCATCGTCCATCGATTATTACCAAGTTTATTATGACCCCAAGAGGCTCTATAGATGGCCAGGTGTCCAGGTTAAACACTCGAGTGTTTTAAATATAGACTAAATTTGAGACTATCTATAATTTGTTATAATCAATTATATAAAAACTGTTAAGAAAAAATAATGTAAATTATTTACTCTGGTAAAACCCTAACCCAACTAAAATCCTGCAAATGCTACTATTTGTGCGACTTTATAAAAAGCATTTTATTAAAATATATGATTTTTATTTAAATAAAATACTTTTGTTAAATATGAATATAGTATGATTTTTAAAATTAATATTTTCATAATAATATATTAAGAAATAAAATGTAGGATCAATCAAAGTAATATCTAAATATACATTATACAATATACATATTTATATAATCATATTATACTTAATCTGAGAATTAAATATAAGTAAAATAAGTATTTTCATAAACGTAAGTATAACGTATAAAGTATAAGTATAATAAACAATACAGATGTACCTATATAAAATAGGTATTAAGAGGATGCTACCCATGCATTTGTTGTCTTCATCTTCCACAATTATAGGGCATATCAAATTTTCATTTACTAGTTTCAACAGTGTGCTGTTAGTTTTGATATTACAGATATTACAGTGAATTTACCTATTATCAAACTTTTAGTTAAGAACATTATCTGTGCTTAAGCTATTTTTCAATATTTTAATTTTTCAAGCAAGATATGGGTATGTGAAATATTACAAATAAAAACTGCTTATATCTAGCTTGAGAATTAAAATATTGAAAAATCGCTGAAGCTTTAGGCACAGATATTGTTCTCACCTAAAAGTTTGATAGTAGATCAATTCACTCTAATATCAAAACTAAAAACACACAATTGAAAATGGCGAATGAAAATTTGCTATATAGTAAGTGTGTAATGTGGAGACAACAAATGCACGGGTAGCTTCATCTTAATAAGGTATATGCAAGCATTTAGTAAATTTAATATATTACTGAACATACTAAATTGCATGTACATTTATTATTGATCATATAAATTCGAATTTCTAATAATTTATATGTATAATATTAAGAGATGTAGCATAAAAATAAAACATCAGTACCTACTTAATGCCTATATTAATCAAATAAATAAAAACAAAATCTGTTAATCTGATAATATAATATAATATAAGTTAATGATTATATTATCAATTAAATATCACATTATATTTTTTCATTTATATTTAGTTATTCATTATTGTAGGTATACTTTTTAATATTAATTAAGCCAAATTGTTTTTGAATTAAAATTTGTTTTTTAGTTTAAACTTTAAAGTAAATAATATTATAATATTAGTCCATGGCTAGGTCCTACATAAAATTAACTAAACTATTGTATTATATTTAATTTACATACCAATATTTTCAATGTTAGGGTGCTGGAAAGTCTTGATTATACACTGAGTACAATAGTTTTTATCAATTCACGATATTTTTTTTATTTTACTTCGAGATTAGATAAAAAGGCTAAGAGGGCAGGGACCGTTATTGTAGATTATGGGAAAATAATTGCGACAACTAATAATAAAATGCACTCCATAGGATGATAATTATACTATGCATATAATAACTTATCAGTTAATGTAGGTATTCCTTTAATTCTATACCTATACTATCTTTATTTTGGTATAATAATTATTATATAATTGTTATTTTATTTTAGATTCCAAATGGATTTTATTGTTCAAATTGTTTCTACTGAATCTATAATATATTTATACACTTTAAAATAATATCATACAGTATATAAATTTTAAAACTCTTTGTCGAAGATTAATTTAGAATATTGAAATTGAACCAGCGAGGTGTGCCTATATAACGTAATGGTAATATTAGTAATTATTTAAATAAAATATACAAATTGCTGTGATAGTAATACATAACACCATTTATTTGACAAATAACAATTAATTTTACTAGTTTATAAAAAATAAAGTCGAAATGGTGAAGTTGAATAAATATTATTATACCTAGTGCATTTTCAGAATAGAATGTGAAGTCATTAGTTAATGTTTTGAATTTCGAACAATAGTTAATGGATTACATTATGCAGATACGAAATAATATCAAACAACAATAATTGCTTTGTTATTTTGATTCAGGAACAACTTGAGGTATCTTTTATTTTACTTTTATTATTTCAAGTTTAATTAGAAAAATAGGAGATTGGGAGAAAAATATTATTATTAAAATCACATATTTGAATAAATAAAAAAATTCCTACCAATATATATTAGAGAATTAAATGCATTTAAATTGCCATAAATTAGTTTGTTGTTTTAAATTAATTACATTTTATGAAATCATATAATTTACAACTGAAATATTATGTTCAAATAGTGTTAACGAATGCATTATAGATAAACAAAATATATTTAATACCTAATATAGTATTATTTAGTAGTAACTATTAATATAGGTAGTAAGATATACACATTATCTATATACACATTAATAGAAGTAGAATAATATTCTGATATTATCACTCATATAGTGTAATGTTGCTTAAATGCCAGAAACCAGAATAGTTGTAATATTTTACAAAATCATATAGGTATTATTTTATACCTATTAGGTAGGTAATAGGTATACTATGAATTACAATAAATACTATTAAAAATAATTTTACATTGAATCTTTTTTTTAAAACGTGATTTGTACTTTTACTTATTTTTTTTGTAAACACATTTTATGATTTATATGTTACATAAAAATCAGAAATTTTAGGTACCTGATTCTAATATTATATGATTTTATACTTACGTTTTTCAATTTTTTTATATAATTCGGTTATCCTTGATGTCCATAAGTATTCTATCCTTCAATAGTAATATCCCTCAGGTATAATAATAATAATAATTTAATTTATATTAATTAATTTAATGTGTGCTCATAAAAATAATTTTATTTTTTCGTTAGTAATGAATGTTAAATTGTACTACTCCTGTCCAGTAATTACATTTTCATACTCATACTGATGATAATAAGATATTTAAAAAAATATATTATGTAGCTACAGTACAACTGTAGTGGCCTATAAGTTATAAATTAACAGAGTATAAATGTATTGTTCATGTAATTGCTAATCAACAATATTAACTCCAAAATGGAATA